GCAGGAATCGGGCCTGTAAGGGGGGAGTTACTGGAGTTAATTCACTCTTGTTTAGAAAGTACTGGATTGTGATCTGAATTAGTAATTGCAGTGCAGCTGTGACATAATTGTTTACCCAGGCTCAACTTTGTATGATTATGTGCTGATGTTTTACTGCTCAGGAACCCAAACGGACTGGTTTGTATGTGGTATGGTACTGTGATGGTGCACAAATACTATTTTTGGTGCTAACTCTGCGAGAGGCAGAATTCGGCTATGTATTACTTCTCTGTGAGGTAGAGGTGACAAATTTGGGAGGCTCATGTGCTGCTGGGAACCTGTTCTTGTTCTGGATCTCACAAAGAATAGAGGAGACAGTGATTAATTGTTCTTGCTTCTCTCTTCTACAGCGCCCCAAAATGGGGCACTTTCTGCTTTGGAGGCCAGACCAAAACAACATCTTGGTAATTTCATCCCCCCCACCACACAGACATTATGGAGCCTGTGTGCAGCACCCAGCTAGTTCCTACATTACATGTTCCCCATTCTGAGGGTAGGACTGGAGGTCCATGCTGAACCCTGTTCCAGTATTGCAGATAGGGCTCAGTGTTTCATTCAGCATGAGAGGAATTCCCTGTTGTCTGCAAAAAGAAGCTAATTTAGCAGCTGGGATTTGGCCGTTTTTGGTAGATAACTCTACTACACTCTCAGTTAGCTTCTAGTAGATGGTTACTGTTGTCTGAGTTACTAATAACAGTTTACCTGTCAACTGTCAGTATTTCAGTGCACTTTAAAGTGTTATTATTCTGGTGATGTCCTTTCAACATAACCTAATATTGTCAAGACAGAACATTTTAAATCAGCTATCTCCAAAACTCACATGGGTGTCTAACAAATTACATACTTGGATAACCAGAGCTGAACCTTCAAGAATGTAATCAAATACTGTGAATCTGACAGTGAAATCAGAGGAGTTGGCAACCCTGAATCTGTACTTATATGTGACTTTTGTACCATCTTAGATAACTTTAAATACAATGACAGTGATTGTAGTTTAGCTGTCTTTTGGAGGACAAAGAAGTTTGTTACTTCTTGGGAACTGAGTTCTCATCTAAAAGTTCCAGGAGTATTTTAATTAACACAAGAGACATGGATTTGATGAGTGGATCACTCGGTGGATAAGGAATTGGCTGGACGGTTGCACTCAAAGAGTTGTGGTCAACGGCTCGATATCCATATGGAGACCAATGACGAGTGGTGTCCCTCAGGGGTCTGGATTGAGACCGGTATTATTTAACATCTTTGCCAGGGACATGGATAATGGGATTTGGTGCACCCTCAGGCAGTTTGTGGATGACACCAAGCTGAGTGGTGTGGTTGATACTCTAGAGAGAAGGGGTGCCATCCAGAAGGACCTTGACATACTAGAGAAGTAGGCCCATGCAAACCTTATAAAGTTCAACAAGATCCTGTACTTAGGCAATCGTAAACGTGGAGAGAGGCTGGGTTGTGTGAGCAGCCCTGTGGAGAAGGACTTTGCAGTATTGGTGGATTAAAAACTGAGTATGAGCCAGCAATGTGCACTAGCAGCCCAGAAAGCCAATTGCATCCTTGACTGCATCAAAAGTGTGGCCAGCAAGTTGAGAGACGTGATTGTGCCTCTCTGCTCAGCTCTTGTGAGACTCCACCTGGAGTACTGTGTCCAACTCTGGAGTCCTCAGCACAGGAAAGACATGGATCTGTTGGAGCAAGTCCACAGGAGGGCCACAAAGATCATTGGGGGCTGAAGTACCTCCCCTATAAAGACAGGCTGAGGAAACTGGAGTTGTTCAGCCAAGAGAAGAGAAGGCTCTGGCAAGACCTTGTAGTGGCCACCCAGTACTTAAAGGGGGCCTACAGGAAAGATTGAGAGGGACTCTTTATCAGGAATTTTTAAGAGGATAGATTTAGACTAGATATTGGGAAGAAAATCTTTACTGTGAGGGCAGTGATACACTGGCACAGGTTGCCCAGGGAAGCTGTGGATGCCTCCTCCCTGGAAGTGTTCAAGGCCAGGTTGGACAGGGCAACCTGGTCTGGTGAAAGATGTCTGTGCCCATGGCAGGAGGATTGGATCTAGATGATCTTTAAGGTCCCTTCCAACCCAAACCATGCTATGATTCTATGATAGTGTTCTGCTCTTAAGAAAGATAATCCTAATTTCAAAAGGAATATACAATGAATAACCTCTCTAGAGAGTTTGATTTTTGTCTAAATAGTTAATTATGGTGAGCAGCACAACATGATCTTTTAATAGGGAAAGTATATTAGTATTTCTCGTATTGTTGATTACATGGGGGCAACCCCCCTCTCTTTGTTCTGTTACTCTTTCTACATAAGTATTGGACTCTACAGCTTTGTACAACTTGGAAAACTGTTGTTGGGCTTGCCCTTATTTCACACTAGGGAAGGATTTTGAGTGTCAGAAGACTTGCTTTTCTTTTGTCTAGGTGTTCTAGTTTTTTGTTTTATGGGAGTCAATAAACATAGCTGGTTATTGTTTTCTTTAAAATAACTTTTTTTACATTAGCTTTTAAAACAGCGATGATTCACTGTGGCTATAAGCTACTATTTTTTCCCTGTATTAAAACTATTTTAGGAGAGTTAATATTTCTGGAAGCATAGATATTAAACCTGTGGAACACTGCTTTTTATCTGTTATACACATGGCATGTACTACACAACAGGCTTTTTATTTGTAGAAATAAGTATTGACATTATTTGTTTTATTGTGCAATTGATCTTTAAGCAAGGAGAGGACCAGGAGTCCTACCAGATGATGCTTTTAAAAAGACAATTTTAAAAAGGGAGATGTGCTTTTTAACAAGTGTTATATCTCTTTCTATTGCCTAAGTTTTCTTTTCCTTTTATGTTTAGTTACTCTAACTCAAGGTGGTGCAATCCAGATTTCTAACCCAGCATCTGATGGTGTTCATGGACTACAGACGTTGTCAATAACAAATTCAGGAACTTCTCAGCCAGGTGCTACCATTGTGCAATACGCCGGACAATCACCTGATGGCACACAACAGTATTTTTTTCCTGGAAGCCAAGTTGTTGTTCAAGGTATGTTTCATTAGTCTACTGCATTTTATTTTTTTCATATAAAATAATTTTTCTTAAAAGGTTTTTTATTTTGTGTTGATGTTATTGCACTATTAAATAAAATATTTATACATAACAAGATTAAAGGCTTAGGAGGAGACTCAGTTTCTCTGCTCAGTAAAGCAGCTACTGCTTTTGATTTAAAAAGCTATGAAGAGGAAATAACGGTATAAAATCACTTTCTGCTTTGAGTTCTCTTGCCTACGCTTTGAGAGATATTTTTAAGTGCAGTAAAGGTGCTGTTACAGATTGAAATGAGATGCTGAGTGTGCATCTCATTTAATATATGAAACTATTTTTTTTTCAGTGGTTAATCAGTCTTAATAAAACACAACTTCTGAAGTTCTTTGGATGTGTTTAGGGCAGAAGTTCCTTGCATCTTAGACTCCTGTAGTTATTGGGAAGGAGATCCTTCACTGAAGCTAGTTTTCTTACAGAAGAACACTTCAAAGGTCCTATAAAATGCAGAGATGTGAATTGAACTGTGAGTAGCGAATTCTTGAACCTTACTGTAGTTTATGCAGCTTTTTTTTTTCCTTCCACTCTTCCTAGCCTTTTGGAAATGCAGAGGGAGACTGAGAACCAAAGGTATCACAGAGTCACAGAATGGTAGGGGTTGGAAGGGACCTCTGAAGATCATCCAGTCCAACCCCCCTGCTAGAGCAGGATCACCTAGAGGTGATCATACAGGAACACATCCAGGCGGGTTTTGAATCTTGGATTCTGACTGATACCAGGGAAAGTAGGGTTGGGATTTTGTTTCAGCTGAGGAAAACCTTTGAAAATGGGGAAGAGATTTCTGTACGGTCACAGTAAATTAATGGCTGCCATGGAGGATACGAGGAAATTTTTTTTCCCTATTTTTTTTTTTAATCAGTACAGAGAAGGAGGGAGGGCTGTATGAATGCCTTTTCTTAATTCAAAACAGCAATCTGAAATAAGCTGTAAGAAGAGCTAGGAAAATTTTAAATATGTATTCATTAAGTGGATGAGATTCATTGACTAAATGTAGATAGACATAGATAGCTGAGATAGTTGGTGAAGTCCAGGCTGAGGTGCTTTTTTTGCCCTAAGATGGATGTTTGAATTAAGTTTTGTCTTTAAGCGGCTGTTTCTCTCCCTTTGCTGTAAAGGAATCCCGGGATGTAAATAAAGCTAATAACTTGTAGATACCTGAACTTATTGAGACAATGCTAAATAATATTACCAAATTCCATTGCCTTTGGTTAATTCTTCACTGAAAAACATGGTCTTCCCAAGACTCTTCAGAAGCATTTCAAGGAAGCTCCAAGACTATAACATGAAAAACCTTTAGCTAAAATTTTATTTTCATCACGCAGAGAGTACTGTTATAACTTCCCTAAATATTATTATGAATACATTCTTAGCAAATCCTTAAAACCCAATTTGGCTGTCCCCCGAATTAATTTCCCACTGTGGTAGTCCATGTTCCGAGTATGATAATACTTTTTTCTATACATGTGTGTCCACATCTGTTAAAGAACTTCTCTGTCTCTCCAGACTTGACTGCAGTATATATTTATATATTTATATATATAATTTATATGTATGTATTTAT